AATGCAAGCACCCTGTCAAGATCAAGATCTAACATGATCAATGTGGCAGACATCAAAATCTATTTACAGTTGAATAGAAACATTAATTAGAATTGGCTGTTAGTCATCGAAACATGTCTTCCAATTTTCAAAACATTTGTATAAGTTGTTACCACAACTGTTTGTATGTCCAAAAACAACAGTAGCATTCTAGCAAGTTAAAGCCTGTAAACAATGATGTACCGATAATGGTTTCTTGCAGCAATATTCTTTAGAAGGAGAGTTATGAGGAAAAACAAACACAACCTGTTTGAGACCAAGTTCAAATTGTATACCCCATCGCGGGGGTCGGCCTATGTGCAAAACATTCCATGTTGATACTGATTTTAAGGGTCCTGTTAGGGGGTCGGCTTATCTATGATATTGGCTTATCTACGGTAATATACAGCATATGGAAACAAGAAATTAAAAATTTAAAACTTCAAAATATAAAAAGGCAGTTGAGCATGTGGTTACTGCACATGTAGTCTCATTAAAACTATTCATCACTTTGAACATGTCTTGGTTGTTAGGTCCAAATTGTTTTTATTGAAACATAACGAAACAAACTTTTGAAAATATTCAAAATAGAAAAAGGCACCAGTTAAACATGATAAGCAATGCATACGCAAAGTTTCGTTGACAAACATTTTTTGGCTCATAATAGGATGGGACGTCAATAGCGAGAACAATGTCAATGTCATTGGGAACCAGGGCCCTTATTCTTGAAACGTTCGTAGCCCTAAGAATTCTTAACTTTGATCGTAGCCAATGTGTTAAGAATGGGCTTAAGAAATTCGTAAGGGTACGAACATTTCGAGAATAGCTAGCCTGGCCATATACTATATGTCTCCCGTCCATGTGGTATGTGTGTGGAGAAGATATACAGACAATGAGAGGGAATACATCACAGGAGAACATCTGAGGCATCTAGCACTCTCATCTCCAAGTTTGAGTGAGTGGGTTTAGTGTTATCCCGCTTTTAGCAATATTCCAGCAATATCGCGGCGGTGGACACCAGAAAAGGGCTTCACACATTGTACCCATGTGGGGAATCGAACCCGGGTCTTCAGCGTGACAACAGAACGCTTTAACCATTAGGCTACCACACCCTTGTTGACATAACAGGAATATTTTGTTCAAAGCAGTGGGGTGGTGGGATAGCCTAGTGGTTAAGGCGTTCACTCATCACACTGAATTCCTCGGTTTGATTCCCCACATGGGTACAATGTGTGAAGCCCATTTCTGGTGTCCCCTGCTGTAATATTGCTAAAAGCGGCTTAAAACTAAACCCACTCACTCAAACTTGGAGATGAGAGTGCTAGATGCCTAAGATGTTCTCCTGTGATGTCCCCCTCCGTGATAGTGCTATAAGCGGCATAAAACCCAACTCACTCACTCACTCATCGTTCAAGGCAGGATTAAGCCCAACTCACTCACTCACTTCAACATTAAGCTGACATCACAGTAATATAACTCATGCATGATTCAGAGTGGATTCATGTCACACAACAACCCTACATCCCTCAAACAGCTGTCTGATAGACATCCCCAGACACGACATGTATAACGAAATTGACAAGTGTAATGAAATGAACATTTCCTGGTGGGCAGGATAGCCTGAGGCAGTATGATTGATATGTGCCCCAATACCTCCATCTCCTCTTGTGTAATGCTTGTCAGTACGGTATGTACGCTATCATGGTTAGGAGATCTTATGTTATTGTTCTATCAATCCTCTTTTCTTTTCATCCAAGGATGCATTAGCTGTAAAAAGAGAGTTCACCTGTCTATACCAAGGTAATCTGAACAGATCTGCATGTCTGGAGGCTGTTTTACACACACAGGGAGATAATAGATATATTCACCTTGTGTTATGCACTAAGTTAATGATGTTATAACCTTGGTCTGAACAAAGGTATATACCATTTTAACTAATCAGTGGCATTCAACAACTAACACAATTAGGGACAGTTCATAATTTATGGCTGGTGGGGTGTGGGGTTGTGATGAATGAATGAATGAATGAATGAATGAATGAATGAATGAATGAATGAATGAATGAATGAATGAATGAATGAATGAATGAATGAATGAATGAATGAATGAATGAATGAATGAATGAATGAATGAATGAATGAATGAATGAATGTGAATTACCCCAACCCACCCCTTTTCCCCGAATGTCATGTACAAAATCAATGACACCCCATAGTGCATGCACAGGCAAATTGTAAATAAATAGGGTTGTAAAAAGAGAAATGACCAGTCTTCCCATATGTGAGCAAAAGGTTAACAAAGTGCTTCCCTCGCTTCTTCGTTCGAAAAATATTTTTAATATCAAAATAAAATATCGCCATCATCAAAGGTAGACACCCATTTCCTCACAGGGTTGTGCTCTCAGATTTCCAACCTCATATTTAATAATTACTCACGTACAATATATTTAATTCAACATTTTAAGAGCAAATTGTGGCATGTCAAATCGTTCTTCGCCTCCATTACCCCTGCCAGCTTCCGGTTCAACAGAGTGAAGGAACAAGAATAAGCAGAAATTAAACACAAATATCATATTGTATAATTTCACCGTTAAACTGTTGGGGATTATTTTTCTTATCTGCCGTCGTTATTGTTAGAATTTTCGTAACATTTATTCTACAGAAACACTTCTGGCGTAACGGGTAAATGAAAGCATATTTAAATTTAACTCCCCTGTTCCTTCACTCCGTTGAACCTGAAGCTGGCAGGGTAATGGAGGCGAAGAACGATTTGGAACATGCCGAAAATGTTGAATTAAATATATTTGAGTAATTATTAAATATGAGGTTGGAAATCTGAGAGCACAACTCTGAGAGGACATGGAGTGTCTGCCTTGATGATGCGTGATATTTTATTTTGACATTAAAATATATTTAAACAGAGCGCGGGAAGCATGTTGCCAACCATTGCTCGCATCATACGGGAAGACTGGTCATTTTCTCTTTGATGCGCAACCCTATTTACGCTACTATTTGCCTGTGATACATGTCATTACCTACTATCTACCCAGAACAAAATGGGTTTTCCCATTAAATCTTACACACACACACCCCAGCCATAAATTATGAACAGTCTCTTAATGAATACATACATTATTTTAAAATAATATATTCCAAAAATACTGTAATAAATCATTTGTCATCTGTTTTTAGCCCTCAAATAGAAAGCTCACTGGACATGTAAGAAGTTCAGATAAAGTGTGTTGTGAAAATAAGAACTAAACTTACCTTGACTTCTGTCTGTCAATCATAGAATAAAATGTTTTTAATCAAGTTCAAGTCTATTGCTATTTACATCTAAACAACCCCCTGATACCCTGTTGCTACAGTGTGCATCACACAACTTTGTTCATGGTACAATGGGATCCCAAAATATGCTTCCTTCTTTCCCATCAATTCTGTTTGTGCTCTAAAATTAAATGAGTGAGTATGGTTTTTACACTGCTTTTAGTTTAAGCAATATTCCAGCAATATCACTGCAAAGGACACCAGAAATGGGCTTCACACATTGTACCCATGTGGGGAATCAAACCTGGGACTACAGCATGACAAGCAGACACTTTAACCATTAGGCTAGCCCACTCCCCTGCTCTAAAATTGAATGTCATGTAAAAAATTATAATCTGAATGAGTATTTTGAATCTGTTGTACCCAAGCTGTGAGACATCTTAGTAACTCATGATTTAATAAGTACTAAGTAAATCTGTTAATATATTCATCAGGTTATCATGATAATGAGCATGAGAATGATATGAAATGTTAAGTGTTTCCTCCAGAGCGTTTTAGTAGCGCGCTGCGCCCTGCCCTTTTTTTTCTGGCGCCCTGCCCTTTTTTTATGGTGCCCTGCCCTTTTTTACAGCGCCCTGCACTTTACTTGTGCCCTTATTAACGTGTCTTCGTACTTGCGTAATTTTCCAGATTTTAATATCACCGACTAACCTCCCCTGGCGGAAGTGGCGAATGTTGTTTTCATAACATTTATCAAATGCGTATTTATTTGTAAACATTCAAAATGAAGACATTAAGGGAGCTGACAATAAATGAGGCTGAATCTTATCATTTTGTTTTGGTTTTGATTGTGGTTTGTGCCCTTTTCAAACCAGGATGCCCTTTTCTGTAGAACCTTCACCCTGCCCTTTTGTTGTCTGGAGGAGACACTGATGTTACATAACAATCAGAAGCAATGTAACAAGCGACTTCTAGGTAAAGATCCTTGTCAATATACAATAAGCATTCAAACAAGCACCTGTATCCACATGTTGTAGCACCTATCTGAGAGTGGTTAAATAGAGTAAGCACCATAAGAAATCAAGCATTAGAGAGGCAAAAATAAGCACCTGTTACTATGGTTACCTGTAAGCAACTTTAGCAAGATTACAATAATGGTTCAAGACCATAAGCAGAAGAAACAAACTCATGATTTAATTATTAATATAAATTATAAACATAGAACCTTTGAACGGCATGAACATAAACCTACATAACATGTAATTATTAGAGATAAAGCTAAACCCTAGTGTTAATGTTATTCTCTATTAACTTGACAAGATTAAGATTTATCATGCGTAAATTTGTTTTAATAAATCATCAAAAGCCATCTAGTAATGTAATTGCATTGACGATGATGATGATGATGATGATGATGATGATGATAATGATGATGCTGATGATGATGATGATGATAATAAATCATTATCTAGTTATCCATTTAATGATTTAACATTCTCAAAGTACAAATTTTCTATTTAAAATGAATCAAATAGCTTAATGGCATTGCGTAATCATAATCTAATGTCTAACCAACTGAAAACAAAACAAAACAAAGTTAACAAGCCAGTGTAAAGATGCGACAGGGAATTTCAAACTGTTACCAACTAATCCAAAGTACAGAACAATAGATCATGTGAACAAAAGCTAGCATTAACATTAGCTAGTTCAAAATACCTCGGTTTAATCTTTCTGGAGCTACCTCATAGGTAGGATCTTTAGCTGTAAAAACAAAAATGCTTGACGTGTTTAAAACGATCGTTATGACCTTTTACTTCATGACAGTTTAATGACTAATTAATGACTTAGAATGCAATTAGCTGATCGTGTGTTCGGAGGTGTAAGAACAGCAATCTCAAGACAGTGTGTCATGGAAATAGGCTTGTTTGTTAATTGCAAGCCGTTGTGTTGGACTCAGCCTGGGGCATGTTCTGCCTACTGACCATTCACAGCAGACATAGCTTCAGGCATGTTGTGCCACTCATGGGTTCAACAACAACACTATCAGACAATGTCTGCAATGTTTTCCTCTTGTACTCAAACACACAGATACAATCATAAAACAATACTAACAAGCATCATATTTTATCTCGCTAATTATCCCATAAGACGTATCAGGTAGCTTAAATTACAGTAAATTTGTACACTACTTTACACAAGTTAAATAGCCCCCACAATTGGAAGGCTGGGTTGCATTATCTACCTGCCATGACAGGTGAAAAAATTGTCCTTTGTGTAACTGTGTTTGGTGCATAAACTTTTGAGTAATTGGGCAGGTAGTTTTTTTTTCCATATAATATTTTGCAATTTGGATCTTTCTAATTTTCTTTGAAGTTTTACAGCTTGTTTCAAGTCTTCCATGGCTAAGTACCACTTCGTTAAAGACTTAGTGTGTACTTGCCTCAACTTGTCCTTCTTTATAGTTTTAAGTAGTATCTACTCGTGACATAATGCTGTAATAGACTTGGCTTACTTAACCAAAGAATATTTCACTAGAAGTTTGGTACAGGCTTAGAAATTAATTTGCATTTGTTGTATAATGCTGCATTCAGCCATATTCCAGCCTTATTTCAGCAGTCTTGTATATAATACAGACTGGACCAGACAATCTAGTGACTGATGTTTGGAACAACAATCCACCTCACCAGAAAACAATGACATGTGTGTTTTATAATCCTTTTATACAATTCATCTTTAACAAATACCTTTACAATATATGTATATTTAATTATCTTATATACTTTTAATGCAATTTGTGATAAGCAATGTATTGTTATTTTATGTAAATATATTTTGTCATTTCGTTTTACATTGTCTCTCATAACCCACTTTTGGTTAGCTGACACTGTAAGTAGATTCTGTTTGTATTTTTATATTAAGAGGTGAGACGTGAATAAAACATCGGTCTGTCTGTCTGCTATCATCCATGTTAATAACCCTGACCACCTGATTCTTCAAGTCGCCTCTTTAAATTACCACAGTAAGTAACTGGCGACCTTGGCCATGGGTTTCCCAGAATCGCCCAAATGGGGATGCTTACATGATAAAACACAAGAAGATACAGGGGTGGAAATAACCCATTGCCTGACGTCCGAGTCCAGTGGGTGTTTTTGTCGGGCAAGAACATTTGTACATCACACTGTACCAGTGTCCAGTTAACATTCCAATGTTAATTACGGGTATGTCGTTAATTTAAGAAATCAACAAGAAAATCGACTGGTATAGTGGAAAAATTATCAGGGCAAGTGACTTAACATGTGCCACTGCACCGGAGTACACTAGCAATTTTAAAGTTATTTCCACCCCTGAGATATTCCGATGGAGACTCAACTAAATTGTATTTACATGAAACTCAGTAGTATAACTTGACATTGACTATGATCATGACGATGAGGTTTTCATTTCAAAGACAATAGAGTCTGACTTTGTCTGTAGAAAAATTTAATGACAACAGGACAGCTATTCATTTTGAATAGGAAACAACTAGAAAGTCTGTATTTTCAAGGAATCAGCAGCTGCAAACATTTCACTTTCAACTTTATACATTCCAAAATGAAGGTAAAAAAACTACTTATTTCCACATTTCTTTTAATCAGAAAAAAATCAAATGCAAATTATGGACATGTTGGGTTTTTTAAATTGTTAAAAAACAAAAAGTAAGTATTGACAAAATTTAATAATGAGAAATTTGAACCTCATTCCATTAAATAATTTAAATGAAATTTGAGACTAAGAAATTTCTAAAAAATGAAAGATAACTCAACATTGTGATTATCTAAAGAATGTTAATAAAAGAAACCGAACATGCCCAACATGGCCCAAGATTAAGCACGGCTACATGACTTAGCACTATTCGTAAGAAAGTTCTGTGGCAGTTATCATTTAACTGTTGTACAATATGTGACTTGACGTCACACAACAGACCCACAGGAAACTGAGAAATAATTCATCTTTGTCATGGAGACTATTTGCGTGAGATTCCAGCCGTGTGTTTGCCCTGGATTCTGCAGGACTGTTGATACTCTGGATTATTACTTGTAGAATGTAAACTGATAGAGAGTCTTCATATTAGGTTACCCTGGATGACTGATTTACGAACAGTTCATGAGAAGAGGTTGCAGCGACATGTTACAAGCGTTCTCCATGTTGACTCATCTCCACAAACTCTGCTGTCATTAAGAGGTGCTGAAGTTATAAAATGGTTTTAAATGTGTGCCTTCAAAAAACATTGGGCGAGACGAGTTTCTTCCCTCGTTTAACCAGGCCTTGACAGGCTGAGACAAAATGACTTGTTGGAAGACCTAAGGCTGGAACACTATCCATGCTATTGGACTGAAATTTGATATCCTATGGTGGGGCCTAGGATTTACAATTTTTTCCTACGATGGGGACAAGGATTTTACAGTTTTTAAATATTTGATCAAGGAAGTGCTTGAAATGAAATAATTTTGCCGCAGGTTTTAAACACAAAAATATATTTTCACTGGACAAGCTGGAAGTCCTGAAAAACATTGTGGTGTCTCAAAAATGTAAGATTATTGTGATTTGTATTGGATGTGTCTTATGGATTGTTTGTTGTTCGATGCCATACTCAGCAATATTGCTGCTACATGTATATGTAAATATTCGAGTCTGGACCAGACAAACCAGTGGTCAACATCATGAGCATCGATCTATGCAATTGGGTTGCCATGACAATATCTGAGACAGACAGAACAATAGATATATGTATGGTCATGTGCTGTTGGACAATGACCACCGGTACAGCCAACTGACTTGTTCTGTTTCCATAGTATTTATTCCCTCTAATCGTGGTCTAATCAAGGTTTTGGAACTATCCCTCAACTAGACTAATGCTTAATTTCTGAATATAAATAATTTTAATAGAAACAAATTCCTTTTAAATTGAAAAGGAGCCTAAATGAGAAAGGTGATTCAGAAGTGAACCTGAGGAGTGAGTGAGTGAGTGAGTGAGTTTGGTTTTACGCCGCTTTTACTAGTTTTAGCAATATTCCAGCAACATCACGGCGGGGGACACAAGAAATGGGCTTCACACATTGTACCCATGTGGGGAATCGAACCCGGTCTTTGGCGTGATGAGCCAACGCTTTACTCACTAGGCTACCCTACCAACTGAGGAAATCTAGACCTGTTTCAACACTTTCATTTCAGGCAGACGGCAAATACTGCAGTTCAGGGACTGTGACACAGACTACCCTTCCACCAAATGAGCACATTTGAGTGAGTGAGTGAGTGAGTATGGTTTCTACACCGCTTTTAGCAATATTCCAGCAATATCATGGCTGGGGACACAAGAAATGGGCCTCACATATTGCACCCATGTGGGGAATCGAACCCGGGTCTTCAGCGTGATGAGTGAACACTTTAACCACTAGGCTACCCCACAGCCCTGTGCACATTTGAACCTTGTTCCACTGTAAACAAGGTTAGAAGTACAGAGACACCTAATATTCTAATTATTTTTAGAAAATACACATTTTGTGGTCATCGGTCATCATGGTCATGTTAAGGGGAAAACAAGAGTGCCAAGAATATCTGTTGTCTTGCTTCTGTCTATGCAGATGAAACATGTAGCTTAGAGTTACTGAAGTTATGTAACCCAGCAAACACCACATGAAGAGTGAGTGAGTGAGTTTAGTTCTATGTCGCACTCAGCAATATTCCAGTTATATGGTGGCAGTCTGTAAATAATCAAGTCTGGACCAGACAATCCAGTGATCAACAACATGAGCATCAATCTATACAAATTGGGATACAATGACATCAACCAAGTCATTGAGCCTGACCACCCGATCCTGTTAGTCGCCTCTTACGACAAGCATGGGTTACTGGAGATCAATTCTAACCCGGATCTTCATGGATTGAGAAAATGAATGCAAGAACATGCTTTTACATACTTAATTCAAAGAATTGGAAAAGACCAAGTGAGTTTAGTTTAATGCAACACTGAACATTATTTCCAAGACTGTCTGCTAAATTAGTGTGGGATGAAAGCCGAAAGTGCTCCAGGTCAGACGTTTAGCACTTTGGTAAATTATAGGCACTTTGGTATCAAACCAAGAACTGGACCAACCTTGCTATCATGGCATGATGTCAGAGTATTGATACTGTCATCAAACCAAGAACTGGACCAACCTGGTTTGATATTCCAGCATGCATATGGTGCTGCTTACCAGAATGAACATATATGAATCGTATCTCAAGTTGAGTATTATAGTAAAGGTTGTTAACATTAAGTGGAACTAAATTTGCATCATAGCATGATCACACTTAAACCCATTAAATAAACAGTTTCCACTGTCCAAATCAATCAGGTATGTGTTCACACAAAAACAAATGATTATGCAGATACTATATTACTTGTAATAATCAACTGACTGAACCAAAAATAAAATTCTACCTACTCATACAATATACCGTATACATTTACACAATTTAACCGTTATTATGATATTTTCTTGACCATTTTGAAGTGACTCTTGTTTTTGTTTTAATATTCCAGTAAAGTTACTCACCATAAATAGCATACTGGTCGACTCTGCTGTTAGTAGATGCTACTTTGTCTGTGTTGGTTTGTAATCTCGGATCTCTGGGCTCAGCACTCGCACTTGAACGTTCTCGCTGCCAGTTTTTAAGTTCATTCAACACACGCCCCCCTTTTGATTTCTCCCTCGGTGGTACGTCTGGGGGTGCCAAATCCCCCGATTTCCTATACTGTGAGGGCCGCTCGGGTCGGGGAGGCACCCGGTACAACTCGTGTGTACTGTTATAAATATTTTCGCTATGAGATGGGTGTCCATAGCCCCTTCTAAAATTCGTATTAGCGGCATTGTTAGGTTTAACTGTAGCAGTTGCAGTTGGGGCCTGAGACGTGTACCCCCTCGTGGTTTGGGGAGGGGGTTGTGAGTGTCCTCGTTGGGGTGCGTCCCCCCTCCCTCTAGGGGCGTCACCCCTTGGGATGTGGGGACTGGGGCCGCGGTTCTCCTTTCCGCCGTGGTTTATGAGAGGCTTATTTTTCAATAACGCTAATCTCAAACCGGACACAAACTTACTAAAGCTCAATAAACCGTCAGACGGGGTGACTTTTCTCAAAGCCTCGACGACACCTGTGGGTAAGCCTTTGACTCCATTTTCGCTCCACCTCGACTCGATGTCACACAAACGAACATATCCACTCCGACCCTCGTCCAAAATCTCAAATAGTATCCTCAAAGATGAAACAAACTGCTTGGGAAGCCCGTCAATTGTCTCTGTATTGTCCGACACCGACATTTTGAAAATAAATTGGTCAGTATTTCTTCCGTTCACCTGGAGCCATCATCTGCTTTCGAAGACTTGTCAACTATACGTAATACGTAATCTGATTGGTCCATAAAAGTCGGTACGCGCCCTTACGCCGCTGTTGATTGGTTACCTGGCGGGGACTTAACATGTGCTTTCATCTATCTGTTGATTGGATTGTTTGTAGATAAACAGAATACCGCAGAATCCAAACTGCTTGAGATCGTATACAAGGTCTACATTGTCCGTACAGGGAGTAAGGCACTGGTACAAGCAATAAAAACACGAATGAATTGTCTCTATACTTTTTAAGAAATCGAAACATTCTTTAACCTGATTTTATATATAACTTGTGGATTTTGAAGAAAAAAGAATCTAACCTTGTACATTGTCATAACTTGCTGACATTTGATATTTATAGCCCTTACTCCATTTTAGACCCTTACTGAGTTACGCCTAGCAATCGGTATTTCTAATATACAATGATAGAGAAGGAAATGTATCCACATTAAAAACGCACACACACCACAGATTAAATATGAATAAAAAGAAGTAAAAAGAAATTAACACATATCTACCAAAATGTATGACGATTATGATATAATGAATGTTACTGTATATACTGAGTCACGATTTATAATACAAATGTCTGTACACCCATTTAGCACTACCAAAAGTACCATATGGCGTCTTTTGGTATGACATCAGAAAGTTCCGGATCTTTCTGATCTTTTCTTTAATTAGCGTACTGTATATACATGTGATTTAGTGACAATTTAGCAAAATTCACATCAATCAACAAATTCACAAACAATCCAAGAATCAGACAAAATGTTATGGGCATGTTCTTCAAAACGAAGACAAAGTTATGAATTTGTCTGAAAGGTATATACTATATAATTGTATTTACAGGCCTATATATACCACTCAACTAATGCTAACGTTACAGTGTTGTAGTGTGTAACATATGTATAACCCACGTTATGCTGTTTGCTACAAACATGTACTACATGATAATATAAAATGTCACCGGCAGAGAATAACAGTCACGATTATCTGCTGAAACAAATGCCATTGCGCGTAAAAGGATTTTTTTGTTTGGTGTCTAACTTTAACTCCTTACTCAGCAATATTCCAGCTATATGGCGGCGGTCTGTGAATAATCGAGTCTGGACCAGACAATCCAGTGATCAACATCATGAGCATCTATCTACACAAATGACATGTGTCAACCAAGTCATCGAGCCTGACCCCCCGATACCGTTAGTCGAGTCTTACAACAAGCATGGGTTTCTAAAGACCAATTCTAACCCGGATCTTCACGGGTCCAAGGCAAACAATGGTGAAAATTGATCACTGAACATCAGTGATGACACGAGGTGTTGGCGAAAAAGGCAGGCTGGCAGTTTTTAATCCGGAATCCTTTTTTGGGACTTGGTTGATTGTTTTGATCGAATTTGATAGTGTAAATCAGTAGTCTTAATGGTCTAGACTGTATATTTTCTACAAGCCGCGGGGCGGTGGGGTAGCCTAGTGGTTAAAGCGTTCACTCATCACGCCGAAGACCCGGGTTCGATTCCCCACATGCATACAGCGTGTGAAGCCCATTTCTGGTGTCCTTCAGCGATATTGCTGTAATATTGTTAAAAGCAGCGTAAAACTAAACTCACTCACTCACTCTACAATCCGTTGTCGTAAAAACGAACATTGTGAGGGAGTTGGGATTTTACAACACTTCAACCATATTGTGGAAATCGATTTTAATCCAAATGCGTCCAGGCAGTTTGTTCCTTAACGCCTTACTCAGCAGTATTCCAGCTATATGGTGGCGGTCTGTAGATAATCGAGTCTGGACCACATAATCCAGTGATTCATCTACGCAATATCATGTCATCATAAACTATTAGTACTTGGTTTCCTTCAACGAATCTGCTCCATTTCTTACTAAACAAACTTTTTGAATAATGTAACCTGTTTGATCAAATGATAAAGATTAATTTGATATGAAGTAGCATTATTTGATATGAATTTTACCTTGAAAACGGAGAAGTCCCACGACTGAGGTTTGTATTTTTAATCCTAAAACAATCGTTTTGAGGAGTGAAATTCCGTTGACCAAGTTTACACACAAAAGCTATAAGTAATGTCACATTCTGTGTACCTACTTTCCACGCCGTGATTGCCACGTATAGAGAGACAGGACAATTTTCTATATTTTCTTCCATACACTGCCGGACAAAAGGAAATACACATCCATATCTGATGCAGTGAAAAAAAGAAAGAATGTTTGATGATGATGATGATGATATATTTGGTACTGTCATGAATGTTGCCTTTTCCACCTTAAGTCTGCAATGTGTTTGTGAACGTTATAATAATTTTCAGCCTTGCACCGGTTCGATACAGTTTTCATTTCTGTTTTAAGTGGATACTTTCTTTTGTCCGACAGTTTAGACTGTAATACTTAAACTGACCTCATCTTCCTTTCATCGCCATACGGTATTCGAGTAAAGCCATCCATAATCTTCTTATTGTTCCCCTTTCATTTGGCTGGACTTTGTTTTATAAACAAAACAATGAAAAATAATGCTTGACTTTATGTGAGATAATGTTTTAGCATTTTGCGAAGGTTTGTATGTTTAACGTCATATTGTAACCATCCACATTATTCTGCGGATTCCGTTCGGATAGGTTAGGAGGTATTTAAAAAGGAAAATTTAAAGAAAATCTTTTTTCCAGAGCTATGATTGTTTAAACATTTTCCAAAAGTTTGTATGTTCAAAGAATCGCTTGTGGGTCACAATCGTAAAGCAACAGTTGTTATAGGATGAGTTTCAAATAAAGAGGATTACATGTATAGACTTCAAAACAAAGTACGGATAAATAGAGAATCTCACCCGAGTGTCTTCTGATATCAAATATATCTCCACGAGTTGATAAAGTTATAGATATCCGAGGCTTGCCGAGGATAGTTTTACCTTTATCAACGAGTGTTGATATAATTGATATCAGTAGACACGAGGGTGAGATTCTATTTATCATCAAAAAAATCCTTCTTCATTAGTTTTCAATGACAAATGTACATCTCCTGAAGACTGTACTACTATTAGACTTGCAGTGGAGCGATGTCATAGCATTGTGACGTCATCAAGTTCATGACGTCATAGCATTGTACAAAATATACTGTCAAAATTATATCTCCTAGGAGACATCGTATGATCTCACACAAGCAATTTCTCCTGTGGAACACAGTTTTGGATGATAAAATAGGTAAGATCGCTTCTTCGAATTTCTCTCCGATAAAATATAACGAGATTGATTTCAACGAAATTGCCACTTCGTCCACTTTAACTAGCAGTTGGTATTTTCTTTGTGTCCAGGAAAGTGGATGGGGAAAATAACATGACAAACGTGTTTCACACAAAGACCGTTAACGCATTGCTCGTCACATAATCAACAGAATGTCGCTCACACGTGGTAAGCAGATACTATTTTCAGTATCAATTTTGATATGTAATTTTAACATGTGTCGTATTTCTTTCATTTAAGCGGTGATTTCCAAGAACACCGTGAAACAGTCTCCATTTTAAGACATTGTGGGAACAATGTTTCAAAAGTTTGACATCTTGTGTATTTGTTTGTCCAGGTTATGAAGCGATGACTGCTGCAATTTGCTGTGTCAAGAGGTTTCTAAATGCATCCTTTAAGATCCCCTCACAACTAACCTTTTTAGAACGCACACAAATAAATATTTAAAAATCAGCTTGAGATATGAATTACTTGAATTTGAAGAAAAATATTAAAATTGTCGTTGCGACGTAAGAAATAAATAGAAATGGATATACATTGGCTGAAGTGGGTCTATCACGTCTTTGAACGACATTTAAGTTTTCCTTAGTACTACTTGTGTTATTCAGTTTCCAGGATATCAAGGGGCGGTGGGGTAGCCTAGTGGTTAAAGCGTTGGCTCGTCACGCCAAAGACCCGGGTTCGATTCCCCACATGGGCACAATGTGTGAAGCCCATTTCTGGAGTCCCCCGCCGTGATATTGCTGGAATATTGCTAAAAGCGGCGTAAAACTAAACTCAGTCAGTCAGTCAGTCCAGGATATCAAGGTGTGAATTTAACATTTGAAATAGCCTGGAAGATAAAAAACCCAACAACTTTCCCATAAAGAGATTTTATATATATGCTTCAATGTAATTAAAATGTTCAAAACACTTTTGCTGGAAATATGTTGTCAACAAATAGTATTTGACCATGTGACCTTCACCCTGATTACACGTGTCTCAGTTGTATGTACTTGAGGGCGAGTGAGTGAGTTTAGTTTTACGACACACTCAGCAATATTCCAGCTATATGTCGGCGGTCTGTAAATAGTCGAGTCTGGACCAGACAATCCAGTGATCAACAACATTAGCATCGATAGAACGGAATTGGGATACGATGACATGTGTCAACCAAGTCAACCAGTCTGACCACCGGATCCCGTTAGTCGGGTCTTACAGCAACCATGGGTTACTGAAGGTTAATTCTAACCCGGGTCTTCACGGGGAAAATACCCAGGGGAGTGTGCGTCAGTTAAATGTGGGGGAAAAGCCTCGTCTTTGACGTATACCACTTTGGGTACATTGAAAAACGCGGTTTTGACAAAAACAATAATCCTGTGAATTTTGGATTCGAACCAATAAACTGCCACGACCAAGGAACATAACTCTTCTCCGTGAATTGCGTCTCAAAGGACGACGTGGTGACCCGTTACAGATATTTTTCAACATGCGAAAAACACTTGGTGTAATAAAGGTGTAAAAGGATTTGTTTTATATAAAAAATATCTCAAAACAACATAAGACAACATATGGTTTCATATGGGCAAATATAACCATTATCAAAAGTGAGTGAGTGAGTTTAGTGTTACGCTGCTTTCAGTCATACTCCAGCAATATCACAGCTGGGGACACACGGAATGGACTTCACAAATTGTACTCATGTGACCAGTCATACATTATATGATAGTATATGGTATAGGTCAGACAATCTATATACACGATGT